CCTCCGAGAACCAAAACTAAACCTACGGCAGCAGCGGCAAAAAGGCAGGGTTCCCTGTGCTGTAATTAACCTCCTGTCTGAAGGCACCACCAAACCCCTTCGCGTCAGTGCCCGCTGGTGCCCTGCAGCAGTCCGAGAATGGCCACGGAAGGGGAAACCACAGAGAGCCTGGCCTAAGAGTTCACAACACCCCTCAAAGGGCAGGGGTGCCCTAGCGCCAACCGGAAACCCTCCTGACTCCCGGCCCCACGCCACAGAGGGCCCCACGTCTCCGGGCGTTCCCAGGGCGCTAATGAACACTGGGGCCATTGTCACACCTCAAAACAGCCCTCAGGGTAGACACGGGCCCCACTTTGACGTAAGGAAATCAGAGCTCAGAACTCAGGGAAACGTGCATGAAACCAGCAGCGAAGTTCATCTCTACCACCGGAAGAAGAACACCTCCACCCCCCTGCAACTTGGGAGGGCTCTGGAAGGTTCCTGCCTCTGAATGCCCCAGCCCACCGCTGGCCTTGCAGCCTCCAGGCCACGGGCATGAACATCGACGGAGGCACAAATCCCAGCGAAGCTGGCGGCAGTGCGGGACCAGGCCCGCCAGCAGTGATACGGGCACACTCCGCTCCACTCCGGGGTTGGCCAGCCGTGGCCCAGGGATGTGCCTTCCCTCACCTCCCCCAAGTGAGGCGAGCGCAGGACACTAGAGCACCAGATCCTTCCCTGAATGAGCCACGGCGGGGCTGGTGCAGCCTGACTCGAAGCCGCCACAGAAGGACCCGGTGAGGGACAGACCAGAAGAAATGCCTGGGGCCCAAACTCACAGGGCCCGCCCTCCGGCCTGGGCACCACGGCCTCAAGTCGCTTGCTCCCCTGCTTGTGTGAGCAGGAAGGCCCTCTGAACACTCAGGCCCTGACCCTGCAGGCCTGCACCTGCCGAGACCCCACATTCTCAGCCGCTGGCCAAGGTGCCTTTTCCCACGTGGCCTCAATTTCTGCTTCACTGGCCGCGAACGTGAGAAGTGAGGTCCGCCATCCTGACCAGGCCTCCCTGCCCTCCACGCAGAAGGCCACGACCAGCCCACGTCGCGTTCTTGCCCACGGGACCAGCAGCTGCCCGGCAGCCTACCAGCATGAAGGATGCCAGGCCACAAGACCTCTCTGTCCCGGTCAGGAAGGGCCACATGTCAAGGGCCCCCCACCATCTCTTCCCGGAGCCCACACACAGATCTATCATGAACAAGCACAGCGGGAGCCACCTGGCCTCCCCTATCACCTGAGCGCTCAGCTCCTCCTACGGGGCCGTGGCCCTGGACTGGCCAGCCGGTCCGCCCTGGTGGCCGTGTGTGGACTGAGTGCGACACCAAGGGCCTACTCCCAGGGACGCCTGAGATGTGCCCTTGCTCTGAGGTGGCCACTCACTCTCAGAGGGGACCAGGAGGACAAGGTGCCCGGGGGTCCCCATGGGGGACTGCTGCCCGAGATAGACTCCGGGGTGACTGCCTCACTCTCAGAGGGGACCAGGAGAAGGACAAGGTGTCTGGGGGTCCCCGGGGAGAGGGGGGGACTGCTGCCCGAGACAGACTCCGGGGTGGCTGCCTCACTCTCAGAGGGGACCGGGAGTAGGACAAGGTGCCTGGGGGTCCCCAGGGGGGGGGACTGCTGCCGGAGGCAGAGGCCATGCCCAAGCCAATCCCGAAAGGGATCAATGCAAAGGTCACTCCGCGCTCACACCTGCAAGCCAGTGCGCAGCGGGCCCCTGCGCCCTCACGTCCCCGCACACGGAAGCCGGCCTTCCTGCCACCTCACAGCCGGGCCTGAGAAAAATGAAGACGACTTTTCTTCCCTCTGACAGTTCATTCTGTCCCAAATTCAAAGTAAAATGAAGAAGATCGTCTAGAAAAATGTAAAATCTTCAATTTCAAGTCACTTTTAACGCCCGTTTCATCTGACAGTCGCTTTGAAAGCAAAAGGCAATCTTTATCGTTTGAGGTTCTTAAGCTAAATTGACGTGATTATGTCCAACATAACCAGATGCTTCTAAAAGCCCATTTTCAAAGTGACATCAACCCCCAAAATAAGAAAACCTTCCCTCTGGCTCCTAATGAATCCTTAAGATGCCACGTCCACAGAGGGCTGAGGCTGCCTCGTCACAGACCCCGCAGCTGTCCGCCCCTTGAGGGGTCCCCGCGGGACGTGGACAAGCCGCAGCATCGGGGCAGCCCCGTCCCGCCGGAAGAGCTCTGGGGCAGGCCGAGGAGGCCAGAGGGGGACGCGCCGGCAGTGGGGCGCAGGTCTCTCCTTCGTGCCTGCGGACGGGTCGCCAGAGAAGGGAGGAAGACAACCCTGAGAGAGCCTGGGAGCGGCCGAAGGACAAGCATTTGGTCTCTGCCCCTCTCCCGGCACTGAGCTCCTAAGAGCCTGGGCTTCCAAGGTGAGAGGGGCATTTCGTCACTCGTAACAAGCCCCCTCGCGACCCCAGCCCCATCAGAGCTAACGAGGGGACCACAGGAGTGGCTACGGCGACCAATCACATGCTGGGGGGGCTAGGACTTCCAGGTTGGGGACCACAGGGTGGGGGCTGAGCTCTTCACCAAGAGCCAATGACTTCAGCACGGAAACTCCATAAACACCCCAAAGCGGGGCTCTGACAGCTTCTGAGCTGGACAGCAGGCCCAGGTGCTGAGAGGGGCATGCCCAGAGAGGACACGGAAGCTGTGCAACCCCACCCCTCACCCCCGGTCCCCCCCCCAGCTGGCTGCTCGGAACGCATTCTTTATCACAAACCAGTGACTGCACGTGAAGCGATTTCCCGAATTCTGAGCTGTTCTAGCAAATCCTCAAACGAGGCTGGGGTGGCGAGGGAAACCCTGCGTTTGCAGGCAGCCAGGGGACCCAGGACTGGAGACCGGGGTCTGGAGTTGGGGCAGAGTGTGGGACCGAGCCCTCCACCTGTGGGGTCGTGTCAGAACGGGACGGAATGACAGAGCGCCAGCTGGCCTCAAGTGGCATTCGGTGTCAGGAGGAAAAACCTAGCACAGGAGAAGTCACGCAGCGGCTGGCCGGCAGGCCTCCCTCCGGGAACGGGACTCCTTCCTTGCCGTGCCGCCGCAGGGGCGGGTTTTCCTGTTACTCGCCACCAGGGGCGTCCCGGCTTCCATTCCTCTCTGCGCACACAGGGCACAAACACGCAGACGCTTCCCCCCCGCCCCCATCCACCGCAGCCTGGGGTCCACACCATCAAGGGGTCAGTCGGAGCCCAGGCCACAAAGACAGGCCGGCAAAGACAAAGAGGTTCCCGATCCAGGCGCACATCCTTCTCATGGCCCCCCAGAGCACCAGGAAGGCGGCAGGCGGCCCGGCAGTCACATGCTGCCTCGACAGGGTCCCCACCGTGGGACAGAAACGGGGGCACCCTTCACCCGCAAGACCGGCCCAGCCCCCGCTCACTCAGGCCGAGGGAACAGTGACGCACAGCTGTTCCCGAGCCAAGCCCAGGGGACGCACGCTCCCTGGCGCCCCCGCTGTCCGAAGCCAATGCCCCCCACGAGCACCGGGGCCAGCAGGCCTACCTGCTGGTGATGACATTGTTCCGGTCCTGCAAGGCAAGTTCTCGCTGCTGCAGGTCAACGATGAACCTGGAAAGGTCTTCCGGGGTCCTGCGGGACCAACAACACACGTTAGCATCAGCCGTTGCCCGGAGGGGACCTCATTCTGTGAGTCCCAGACCTGGGACAGCTCAAGCGCCGCGCACCGTCCCCGGGCCAGTGTGGTGGGGGCACTGCACACGCACCCCAACCTGGGTTCAAACCACAGCCCGCCACTGGCCACGTAACATCAGGTGAATAACTTTTATTTGACAGGATTTTAGTTCACCTGTAAAAAGCGATCAATAGCCAGCCGACAGCGTCACCGTGCAGAGGAGGGGAGATGAGGTGCAGGGGTGCTCGGCATGGGTCAGCATGCCCTCCCCCCCTCCCTCCTCCCTCCAACCAGCAACAGTAAGAGACACCCACAGTCTGTGCTTTGTCACGTTCAAGCTGCTCAGCCTGGCCGTGTGGGTTCCCCTTCAGGACAGCCCTGGTGCTGCCCCGTCCCCCATGCAGACGAGGAAGCGGGTCCAGGGCATTAAAAGTGCCCCAGGGTGCAATGGTCTTTGAGCAGTGCTGGACCTCAATCTGGCTCCTGGTAACTCAACACCGTAACTCAGAACACGCGCCAACGTCTCCGAGAGAATGAAAACACCCAGCTCAGTGGGAACGTTCCAGACACAGCACAAAGCACGCAAGCTGGGGGCTCCCTGGCCTGCAGGTGGCGGGTGAGCTCAAGGCCGACGGACCGAGCACAAGGCCAGGCAGCACGTGCGAGACGGTACGGCCTCTTCTGTCACCAAAGGAGCCACGGGGACTGTGACCAAAGCTACACCCACAGGACTCGCCCTCCGCAGAATCAGAGTCCGTCACAAAGCTGTGGGAGCGGCTATCGGTCACCGTGGCGCCCGAAGGCCCTCTTCCTGGCCTCTCACGGCACCACGGTACCAGGCTCCCAGAAACACCCCACTACCGGGCCAGGCCCGGGGGCTCCGCCACCCACAGCCTTGCCTCTGGACACGAACCCGCCAACCCACTGCCCCCGGACCCCGCGGCAGGTCACCCTGGCTCACAGTGCTCCTCCTCAAGCCGTATCACGACAACCGGCACCTCCCGGAAGAGGGCCGCTCCCCATCCCGCCTGCCGCGCTCGGCGCGCATGCGCGGGGCCTCTCGGGGTCCGCCGTGACGAGAACGTGAGCTCCCAGCACCGGCGCCCGGCAGCCGTCCACGCGGAAGCCCTGCGCAGCCCGGTCCTCACACCCCTGGGCCTCTGTAGGCCACACGCCTCCCACAGGTGCCCCCCGGCTCTCCCACCCTCAGTCACCCTCGCAGACGCCCCCCACCCCGAGATGAAGCCCCTCACTGGGCCTGGGGGAACCCCTGCGCTCCTCCCCACGAGAGGATTTAAGGGACCTCACGCAAGACCGTCACCCAGGAGGGGGAGCCTGTGCCGGCCTTGGATGTCAGCTCCCACTCTTCTGGGAGCTTCTTCAAGCTCTACGACCTTGGGACTTAAAGACACTGGCACAGAAAGAAGGAAACCTCTTCAAGCCAGGAGGGATTTCTCTCTGAAACATCCCACAGAGACGCTCAAGCGGTCGTTCCTCTGCGTTACTCCGCCAAAGGGGTGTGCGGACCGTTACCAGAGCCGCAGGCCAGGTTTACCGAAAACAAATCCACAAAAGACCCCGGCCCCCGGCCCGCTGCCGGCCTCGTCTTCCGCTCAGGCCCGTGCAGAGGACCGTCAGCAGAGGGCCACCCAGTCTCTCGGGGATCTCGGCGGCGGAGGCGGCAGCCCTCTCTCCCGGAGGGCGGGTGGCCTGCGGCTCCCTCCCGCCAGAGCCTTCCCGGAATCTGGAGCCCAGGCGGCGGGGTCGGGAGCACCTGACAACAATTTGGAAACCAGCTTTGGGCCCTGGGGCCGGAACCCGCCCCCGCAGAGCTGGCGGTAGAGCCGGCGGAGCGCCCAGACCCACTCTCACCGGGCTCTCCGGCCTCCTTCCGAGCGAAGGTAATGGAAACGAGCCAGTTTAATGATGAGGGGAACACCGCAACGGCTCAGAAGAGGAGGAAAGGGACCTTAACGAGCCGTCCCTCTGAGATGCTCCATCCCACTGACGGCGGGCACCCACGTCCCCTGGGACCCAGGCCAGTGTGCCCGGGCCGCCCACACACGCGCGCGCACGTACACACACCCGGCCGCACCCAGGAGGCCGGGGTCTCTGCCCCCTCCGCTCAACACTCACACGGAGGCCATCAGGCGGCCAAGTACTGCCAAACTTCTGGGCGGCCATCCGGGTCCTGGCCCCACCAACGAAGCAAGCAGCAAACCTGCTTTCCCTCCCCTCCCCCAGAGAACACCGGGCCTGCCGACGTGGCCCCCTTCGCCGGAGGCGGGGGACGTGGGCGGCCGAGGTCGCCCGAGCCCTCACTGCCCCTCCCGGAGCAGGTGGGTCGTCCCCGCACAAACCACAGGCACGAGGATCTGGCTCACACGCCCGTGGCGGACTCTCCTCCGGGCTGGTCCTTGGCCACAGTCCCAGCCCCCGAATCCCAGGTGCCACCATTGAGCCACCCCCTCCTCGCAGAGCAGGGACGTGGGCTGCAGAGCCTGCCTCCCCCACGTGCCCCACTGCACAAGCCTAGAATGCGTGCACGATGCCCACACCCGCCCCGGCCTCATGCCACCACCGGACAGCCTTTCCCTCGGTGGCCTGCGACTCTGGCTGCAACGAGACCCAGGGCCCTTCTGGTCACTCCCACCAGCACTAAAAACCCAAAGCACAGAAAACTGTTGGCTACGCTCCAGAATCTCCCACCGACCTCAGCGACAGCAAGAAGCCAGGACGTCTTCGAGGAAAGAGAGCGGGTTCAGTCACGGTCCAGACAACCGCAGGCTGACGCGCCAGCGCGACAGGGCTCCTCGGGCCTATCTGCAAAGCCCCGAGCCCCAGGCATGGTGCAGTGCGAGCACCCGACAACCCTCGCGCGGCCGTCAACCGCATGGGAGCAGGGAGAGACGGGAACCTGGACAACCGTCTCCTGAGGTGCACCAGCCAACCCACTTAACGCCGTGTGGGAACAAGGACAAGGCATGGGTGACAACGACGGTGACGTTGTCACCCCTTGTTACATAACTGAGGAACATAAAGTCCAACGTGAAATAAGTAATCGGTACGTTAAACCGCGTGGAGTCCTGCAGACCCTCAGGTCTGCAGCTGATCAAAAAGAAAACACGTTCTGCTGGAGGACCACCGTGTATGAGCTTTAGTTAGAAATGGTGCATGGAGGGCGATGGTTCCGGAATGTTCCGCACAAGAAAAAGGAGAGACGGAGAGGTGGGTTTTGCAACAAGTGGACGCTCTAAAGCCAGAAGGCTGAGCCAGGGGCAGGGGTCCTGGCTACAGGTGACCTCTCAGGAAGCTGCCCCAGCACTCGGCTTGCTGTGAAAACACGCCCTAGGAAAGGAGGTGGGTCAATCAGGCACCGAGGGACTTGAACTGACCAGGTCCCCTGGGGCACAGCTGAAGGCGTTCGGGAGGCACCTGGGGGCAGAAGAGACAACAGCAAGGGTGAACTCGCTCATCCCCAGGTCTCCGTCAACCGGGACAGCTTCCCTGTCTGGTGTGTGGCTCCCGTGACCTGGCCGTGCAGCCCCCACTACCCCAAGGAGGGTCGGGCCGTTGGACAAGGTAAGAAACGTAACCAAGAGGAGAGTCCCCGCCCGCCAACCCAGAAGCACTCTTCAGGGAATGCGTGTCAAGGAAGCAATGGTGCGTGCCTACGTAGGTGGGGTGGCAGTCTGTCCTCCTGTGGTAAAATACTCCTAACGCGACATTTACCCTCTTAGGCATCTTTAAGCATCCAGCGCGGGGCATCAAGGGCCTTCACCTGCAGAACTTTCTCATCTTCCCAAACTGAAACCGGGTCCTCGTCGAACGCCCCTCCACACCCGTCCCCAACCCCGGGCACCCCCGCCTACTGTGTCTGTGGACTGGACGTGAGGGGGGCCACACGGTCCTTCTGTGGCTGACGTCACTGAGCACCGCGTCGGAAAGGCTCACCCATCTTCTGGGTCAGAGTGTCCTTCCCCCCTGAGGCTGCACGATACTCCAGCGTGTGGACAGACCCTGCCTTGTCTCTCCATCACCATCTCCCCATCAGCTGTCGCAGACGCGGCTGTGAACACGGGCGCACGGCTATGTGTTCGAGTCTGTGCTTCTGACTCCTGGCTACATACGCACAAGTGGGGTAGCTGGATCATTCCATCCTTGGTGTTCTGAGGAACCGCCATACTGCTTTCCACAGCAGCTGCCCGGCGCACATACCCCACGTCACTGTCTTTCACATTTAAAAAAACAAAAAAAAAGCTCAATAATGGACAGTAAGGAGGTTCTCACATGGGTGCTGTCTACTCATGAGACTTGCTGCTGGGCAAGGAGGGGGCAGGCGGTTGCCACAGCAGCACAGGGCACGGGGAGAACACGGGGGGCGCACTCACTGGACAGGACAACGGGACACGCGGGGTTCCGCAGGTGGGGGCACCATAACGGGGTGGGTCATCTGGAATGGGAACAACGGTCTACATCATCCAGAGTCACTCCAGCCCACACACATCCACCTCTCAATCCATGGAATCAAAACCCCTGGAGATGGGCCCAGGACCTACAGACGAGTTCCCGTGTTTCCTACGCACAACTCAGAACCCTGGTCATTTGCAGAAAAATGGGGGCAATCCAAGCAGCAAAACTATCCCACGGACGCTGCAGGGCAAATCACCAAAAAGGTTATGCCCTCAAGAAAACCACCCACCGGACATGTGACAAAACATTCTCTGAGACTCTGTCCACTTGATAGACAACTACTAGACTGGGTAATTAGGTCCAAATCAAAAAGAAGAATCCCAGGTGCGCCTGGGTGGCGCAGTCGGTTAAGCGTCCGACTTCAGCCAGGTCACGATCTCGCGGTCCGTGAGTTCGAGCCCCGCGTCGGGCTCTGGGCTGATGGCTCAGAGCCTGGAGCCTGTTTCCGGTTCTGTGTCTCCCTCTCTCTCTGACCCTCCCCCGTTCATGCTCTGTCTCTCTCTGTCCCAAAAATAAATAAACGTTGAAAAAAAAAATTTAAAAAAAAATAAATAAATAAATAAATTTAAAAAAAAAAGAAGAATCCCAGAAGACAAGGCCATGAACTACCACGGCCCTCGTTTTATGACGGGGGCGCAGAGGCACAAAGCAGTGAGGCTGCGTGCCCATGTCACACAACCCGCAACCGCCGGGGCTGGGGGCACACCTAGGCTGGTTTCGTACAACAGGGCACACTCAACGCCACGAAAACAGTAAGGAGAGGTGACAGGAACAAGATTCTGAAAAGCTAACACATGTGGATCTTTTGACACCAAAAAACACACACACTGAGAAAAGCAAAACCAGAAAGTAAGATCAACGAGATGAAAAACGCATCTGTGTGTGGCGTGCCCAGGTGGCTCAGTCAGTCGAGCGTCCGACTTCGGCCCAGGTCATGATCTCACGGTCCGTGAGTTCTAGCCCCGCAGCGGGCTCTGCTGACAGCTCGGAGCCTGGAGCCTGCTTCGGATCCTGTGTCTCCCCATCTCTCTGTCCCTCCCCAACTCATACTCTGTCTCTCTCTCTCTCTCAAATATAAATATTTTTACAAAAATTTTTTGACACATCTGTATGAAAAAAAGAACAGGGAAAAAATAGAAAATGTTCAAGAACAAGCAAGACCCCAAACACGGCAGCAGAACTCTGCTCTCTTCACTCTTGGAAAAGTTTCTATGCCGTGAGAATATGTTTCAACAAGTTTTTTTAGAGCTATACGTCCAAGTTGTGGACACAGGGACCACAGTGGCCAGCGCTGACCAGGTGAGACTGCACAGGTGCCGAACGAGGGTCCTCAGCCCTCCCAGCCCGGCGGCCCAAGCAAGGAGACCGCTGCGGGGACATGGGGACCCACGCTCACCGCGGCGTCCTGACCGCTCAGAGAGGCAGGGCGCGGGAAGCTCCTCGGGCCTCCCTGGCTTCATAGTGCAGGTCAGCAGCCCCGAGGGCTGGCCCTGCACGGCGCGTGGGGGCCCAACCTGCCATTCAGAGGCCCAGGCCCTCTCTCTAGCGGCCTGACCGATGGCAGCAGAGGAGGCAGACGCGTGCGCCTGAGCATACAGTGTGTCATAGGTCGGGTCTGTGGGTGCTTGTCCGACTAGGCTCTCCAAGTCACACGGGCCTGGGGAATGAGCACAGAGGAAAGAAGGCAGCCTGTGTGCCGTCAGGGAGAGGCAGCCGCAGGCGGTACACGCCGGGCGAGGACAAGGCCCGGAGGACGGTGATGCGGATCCCTGGGACTCGAGCAGGGCGCTTGTTTATTCAGACTTTAGGGACCCCCTGGCCCGAGGGCAGGGCCCAAGCCCCATCCTCCAGAAGCACCCCCTCTTCCACCCAAAGGGCAGATAAGTCCGGCAGGTGCTCGCGACACTCCAGGACAGGGTCCCTAAAACCACACCAACAACTTCACAAGTCCAGGCTCAGAAAATATGCCAACGACACGTGCGTGTACCTCCAGACCACGCCCTGCAAAGACTCACCCCTGGCGGATAGCGGATGTCGGCAGGCACCGGAGGGCCAGGGCCGGGATCAGCGGTGGCAATCGAAGGGATCTGTAACTTCTGCACCTCATGTGAATTTCTTACAACAAGAATTCGGGTGTGATGCGTACGAGTACAAAAAGAACTGACACCACCCTGCCACACAGTGCACTACATGCAAAGAGCCGCTGGAAACGCCCAGCTGGAGAAACAGGGGGGTGACAGATGGGGCTCACCCACATACGCTCGACACAGCATGAGCCAGGGCGCCGGGACACAGGGAGAAGGGCATCTGGAGGAGGCGCAGGGGGACAAGGCAGGAGAAGCCCCGGGATCCGGGGATCCAAGAGCCACACCTGCACCACCAGCCACCTGTCATGAGCGGCCCGGCTGCTGAGGAGCCGTGGAATCGGCCAGAGCACCTCCATCCGGCAGAACAAGCATTTACCTTCCGGAAACCTCCTGGCCTGCTGTGTGGCCAGAGCTGCTCGGAGATGTCTGCCAAGGGTGTTCTGGGACTTAGCTGAACGCTCGCGGTGAGCGGGACTAGGCCCAGGGGTCAGCCCAGCCCAAGACTTCCTGTGCACACACCAAAAGGTGGACGGCCTTCAGAGGGTCAGAGGACCCTCCACTCAGAGAGGACAGTAAAGTGACAGTCTGCAGCCCGAGCCGTGACAGCTGCTGCTGACGGCCCTGACGGGTGGGCTTCCAGGGAGGAAGGCATCTCTTTGCTCACAGTGCAGCTGAACGTCGGCTCGCACTCAGCCGTGCGTGTGGCATGGCAGGGGCCGGGGGCGTGGGGGGTCACCGCACAGGTGGCGCTGGAGGAAAGGCGGTCCGGCCCGGCAGCAGCCGCTCCGAGGCTCGCGCCAACAGGTGCCAGGGCCCCTGTTGAAGCCCAAAGTGCCAGTTTCAACGGGTCTAAGAGACGTGAGACGCAGAGGAGTCCGACTCCCAAAGTGAATGAAGCCTCCAGCTCTCTCCTAGGAAGCTACTCTCCCCAAGAACAAAGCCCCCAGGCTGGGGGTGGGCTTCAGCGGGGGCATGCTACAGCAAGGGGACGAGCCCCCTGTACAAAGTACACAAAACCAGGAATGGAAAATACTACACAGCAAAACTCGGCTTAAACCCAAAAGGAGGACAGACGCTGACGACTGCAAAGTCACAGGGGCAGTGGGATGTCCCATTAAATCAGGTTTTTCTTGATAACGTGGCACAGGAATGTGGGGAGGTGGTGCTGGGGTCGGGGGCATCAGGTCACCAAGCTCTGAGTTGGGACAAAAGCTGGTATTCATCCCAGGATGGGGAGAAGCAGCTACTGTTTTCCCGAAGAAAAGGATGAATTCTGTATCCTGGACATGGACCAGGTTCTGAAAGGGTCACCATCAGTGCCTGTCCCTGCTGTACCCAGCCCTGTGGCCACTGAGCTGGAGGTCAGATGCTCCAGAGCCAGTGACCACTGATGGTCCCGAGACCACAGGCACTCACAAAGGTCACCTCTCTTGCCCCTACATGACACATTGGCCATGTGGCGGGCCACGGCCGTCGGTACAGCTTCTAAAGCTGCCCATTTCCGAGATAAACAGAGAAAAGTCACTCTTTCCCCCACGGACAGTGGGCCGGCCAGTGACCGAGACAGTGTGGCTGCCTGCCACTCTCCGGCCCCACGCAGGCACCCAAAGGCCCACAGGGCAGCCCGGAAGCCAGCAGATCCCCGAACCACTGCAGGTACCCCCAAAGTCAACGAAGCCCGCACGCTGTAACAGACCGACCTCCCCACCGCCACACCGCCTGACCAACTACTGCCCCTCAGCGGCCCTCCGCGTGGGCCCCCACCGCCCATGCAGGTCTGCAGGCGGCTGCTCAGGTGCCCGTCCATCCCCCCTCTGCTGGAGCCCCGGGCCCCCTTCCTCACCATTCTCTGCTCGGTGTCCAGCGCACGGTCCCTGGGTTCCGCACCGAGCGACACCCCCTCAGGGCTTCCCCGCACTCTCCCGGGACAGCCCAGTCCTCCTCAGGCTCCTTGCCAGCCCTTCCCCGCTGGGCGCCTCCTGCCCCGGCCAGAAACCCACCTCTTACATTCCCTCCCCGCCTTGCCCCAGGCTGGACCCCCAACATGAGACTCTGGGTCCTGCATTCTGGGGTTGCCCACCTGCCTCCTGGACAGCTCCATGCCGGAGGGCACCTGCCTGCTCCTCCAACCACACTCCTCTTGTCTTCTCTGTTTCTGGAAACCGAACGGGCCGGGCCAGCCGCCAGGACAAGCCTGTAGTCCCTGGGGCCACGTCCAGGCCACTTGCCCCCACTGCTACAGCGTCAGCACAGACCCGGACACGGCTGCTCACACGGGCTCTGCCGCGACCGTCGGGTGGCCTCCTGGTCCAGCCCCTGGATCCTGTACTGGCCTCTGAGCATCAGCTTGCAACTCAGCAACCACAGCCAGTCCTTTAGAGTGTGAGTCAGGTCCCACGCCTCTTGTCCAACTCGGCAGTGCCTCCACGACGCCAAGGAGACGCCAAAGTCGCCACCGGAGCTTACGAGGCCTGGCGCAGCCTGGCCTCCCAGGCGCCCACCTCGGGGCCTTTGCACGTCCCGCTTCTGGAAGACTCTCTTCCCAAGTGTCTGCGCAGTACACCCCTCATCAGCTCTCTCGGGTCTCTGCTCAAACGTCCCCGAGGCCTCCTCCGGGTCCACCCCCACCACCCTGTTCTGAACTGTAGCGCCGGCCCGCCCCAGCCTCTGTCCCGTGGCCCCACACCCACTCCTTCACAGAGCACCTCAGTGAGATGTGCCAGGTCTCACCCACTTCCTTACTTGTCCTTCTGCTTCGACCAGAATGCAAGCCCAGGCGAGCCAGATGCTCTTTGCTTTCTCCCACTGGCCATGAACTAGAACAGCACCCGGCACGGAAGCAGGTTCGCAATAAGGAGCGGCTAAATGAACACGAGACCACGCCACCTTTGCAGAACGGTAACTGTCCAACCAAAATGTGTCCAACCAGAGCCGGAACTCAGACCGCTGGCTTACCAGTCAAACACGTCACGGCCCACCCGTACGCTGGAGTCCGTTCAAAATAAAGAGAAGAGCAGACTCCGTGTATGTGTTCACACAGGGAGGTCTGGAAAATGCAGGACTAGATAAAAATATGAGCGGCAGAACGTGAGTACTATGCACCTTTTGTGGGAAAGAAATACGACACGTGCACACAGAGCTGTGCTGGTCTGTATTCGCCGAAGAATGTCCAGAAGGACAAACAGGACAAAAGCAGCGGCTTCCTGTAGGACAGGATGAAAACCGGGCAGGAGACCTAGCACTACCTACCTCTTTCATAAGTTTTAGTAATCACGCCCAGGAAATACAATACCTACTCAGAAAACAATTTTGAAAACTTAGCACTGTAAACGTACGCTGCGGAATTCGACGTAACACAAACGTCTTCTCAAAAGGAAAGCGTTATCCTGTAAGTTAGTTAGTGCATAAAAATCTAACTGCAGCCGTTTATAATCGAACAACCGTGCATCCTGCGTCGGGAGCGTTCGCCACGTATGATGGCATGATCTGCTCTCCAAGGGAGGCTCTCCGAGGGCTGGCGGAAGGCCTCCCAGCTGGGAGGCCAGGACGGCAGACTGATCCCGATCGTTGGCTGACGTGAGGAGCCTAGTGCTTTCCTCTCACACATCTCAAACGTCCTCAAGGAAACCGTGACGCGTACGTGGTCGTCCATACACAGCAAACTTCTTCCCCCGCGGCTGCGCTGACTGGAGTCTCACCTCATATTGTTTACATAAACCCCGGATCGGAATCCACGCTTCTGGCTTTGCGTCTTGCAAATGGACACATGCGATCTGCCTAAATTTTACCACCCTTCCTCTCAATCTTGCAGTCAGCTCACTATGTTCAACGGCAAACTT